GGGCCCATGTTTGTCGCACAGCCAGTCACTTGGTTGAACTGTATCGGGCCTCAAAAGAAAGGCAGGGACGAGTTGCTGCCGAAACAAATTAGGCTGCCCACGATGACACATTTGACGATGTGATGAATCAAAATATCACGCACCTGGATGCCGATGATCTGCTTGACATAGCTGATGATGTTAAATGATAAAATATTGTTGCAAAGATATCACGCACCTGGATGCCCCCTTTATGTATTACCCCTATAATATAAGTCTATTTTAATTATGTTACTAATACATGTCTTTTATTATTTTGACCTTCTTGCAAAGATATGGATGCCAAATATTTTGGAGCCAATGACAACATCTGCCTTATCGACAGTGCTATGACTCACAACATTTTGAAAGACAAATGTTATTTCTCCCACTTGAATATGGGAAAGCCATTATTGTTACTATCAGTGGTGCATAAAAAATGATTGAAGGCTCAGGAAAAGCTACTGTATTTTTTCCAAAAGGGACAAAAATGGCAATTGAAAATGCCTTGTTCTTGAGCAAAGCTCAAATGAATTTACTGAGCTTCAGTGATATTCGAAAAAATGGGTATCACATTGAAATATTAAATGAGGCAGAAAATGAGTATATCTTGATTACTCAGATTGTGAATGGCAACAGAATTGTGAAAGAAAAATTGTCATCATTTTCTTCCGGCTTATATTACTAAAAAATCAGTGCCATTGAAACATATCACCTAGTAGATCAAATGGCTAGTAGAGAATTCAAAACGTGGCACGATCAACTTGGGCATCCTAGCAATTTAATGCTGAGGCGAATTGTTGAAAATTCAAATGGCCACTCATTGAAAAACAAAAATATTTTGAGTCCGATTGAATTTGTTTCTGCTGCCTATTTCCAAGGGAAGTTAATAATCAGGCCATCTCTAACAAATGTTGGATTTGAATCCCCAACTTTTCGGGAAAGAATTCAGGGTGATATTTGTGGACCAATATATCCTCCGTATGGACCCTTCAAGTACTTTATGGTGCTAATCGATGCGTCAACGCGATGGTCACACGTGTTCCTGTTATCTACTCGCAATCTAGCTTTTGCTAGACTACTTGTACAAATAATTAAATTGCAAGCACAATTTCCAAATCACCCGATAAAGAAAATACATTTAGATAATGCTGGAGAGTATTCATCACATACATTTGATGTTTACTGCATGTCAATTGGGATTATTTTGGAACATCCTGTTCCCCATGTACATACACAAAAATGGTCTAGCTGAATCCCTTATCAAAAGATTGCAATTAATTGCTAGACCATTATTGATGAGGTCTAAACTTCCTGTATCATGTTGAGGACATGCTATATTACATGCAGCAGCCCTCGTGAAAATAAGGCTGACAAGTTATCATTGTTATTCCCCTACTCAATTGGTATTTGAAAAATACCAAATATATCTCACCTGCAAATTTTTGGGTGTGCTGTTTATGTGCCAATTGCACCACCTCAACGCATGAAAATTGGACCTCAAAGAAGGTTTGGTATATAAGTCGGGTATGAATCACCCTCGATTGCAAAATATCTTGAACCAACAATGGGTGATTTATTTACTTCAAGGTTTGCAAACTGTCATTTTGATGAATCTCATTTTCCGACATTAGGGGGAGACAGTAATCAACTGAAAAAAAATTCGAGGAAATACCACTTGAATTTGATCATCGTACAAAACATAGTGAACTTGAAGTTCAAAGAATTGTGCATTTGTAGACAATTGCAAATCAATTGCCTGATGCTTTTAATGATGCTTCCAGAGTAACGAAATCATACATTGCAGCAACAAATACACCAGCTAAAATAAATATCCCAAAAGGGAAGGTGCCGAGCGCTAATGAGCATATTGCATGCGTAAAACGTGGCAGGCCGTTGGGTTCCAAAGATAAGAATCCACGAAAGAAGAAAATTGTAAATACTGGTGAAGAGATAAAAAATGATCAGATACCTAAAAAGGTCAGTACAACCCCTGAAGAGATTGAAACTAAAAAATTCTGATGAAAGTGATAATGAAGTTATCGAAACTTCCATTAACCATACCACCAGTGGAAAATATTGGAACATAAAGAAAATAAATATTGATAATGCATTTGCATATTCTGTAGCACTCGATATAATGAAAGATGACGAGGATTATGAACTAAAATCAGTTGATGAATGTCGGCAAAGAGATGATTGGGCAAAATGGAAAGACGCAATTAAATATGAATTGGACTCTTTGAATAAATGACAAGTATTCGGCCTTATAGTCCAAACACCTGTAAATGTAAAACCTGTTGGTTACAAATGGGTGTTTGTGAGAAAAAAAATAAAATTAATGATATCACAAGATATAAAGCAAGACTTGTAGTCCAGGGTTTTTCTCAGAGACCGGACATTGATTTTGACGAAACATATTCGTCGGTCATGGATGGAATAACATTCAGGTATCTAGTGAGCTTGACAGTACACAATAATCTTGATATGCGATTAATGGATGTAGTTACTGCCTATCTTTATGGCTCCTTAGACAATGACGTCTACATGAAAATCTCAAAAGGGATTACCATACCTGAATCATTCAAATAAAAGCCAAAAGAATCATATTCCATCAAATTACAAAAATCTTTGTATGGGCTCAAGCAATCGGGCCGAATGTGGTACAATTGTCTTAGCGAAAGCTTAACAAAAGAAGGTTGCATAAATGGGTCAGGATTCGTAATTATCGTTGTATATGTCATGATCTCAATTCAATTGGAACTCCTGATGAAATCCAGAAAGCTGTTGAATATCTGAAAAAAGGAGTTTGAGATCAAAGATTTTGGAAAAACCAAATTTTGCCTTGGTTTGCAAATTGAGCACTTGGAAAGTGGAATATTTATCCACCAATCAAATTATACCAAAAGGGTACTGAAATAATTTATGAAGGATAAGTCACATCTGCTAAGTAACCTAATGATCGTCGGGGCACTCGATACAATAAAGGATCCCTTTAGACCAAAAGAGGAAAATGAAGAAACACTTGGCCCAGAAGTGCCATATATAAGTGCTATAGGCACATTGATGTATCTTGCTAACAACACCCGACCTGATATATCATTTTCTGTAAACTTATTGGCAAGATTCAGCTCATCGCCTACTCGACGACATTTGAATGGGATTAAGCACATTTTTTGCTATCTCCAAGGAACAATTGATCTCGGGTTATTTTACTCAAAAGATTCTTGACATGAGTTGATTGGTTTTTCCGATGTAGGATATTTATCTGATCCCCATAAAGCCAAGTCTCAAACTGGCTACATATTCATTTGTGGCGAAACCGTGATCTTTTGGAGATCGATGAAACAAGCATTAACTGTCACTTCTTCAAATCATACTGGAATATTGATCAGGCAAGTGAAGTAGGAAACAAGGGAATAATAAAAATTAGATGCAATTATTATTCTTACCACAAAATTAACAGTAAATTTAGTAAAAGCATCTCTTAACTCAATGAGATACAAAGGAAGTTGAACTCTTTAAAAATCCAACACATAGAATAGTATTGAGTTCTATAGAAACCAATAGAGGATATATAGAGTATTATACAAGTACTTTATGTGCTGCAATGCTTTTCGGAAGAGCCAGCCTTTCAAAATTAAAATTGAGACACGATATTAACATTTTAGTGAGATAAGGTACTATCGGCAAACCTTTGAAAGTTGAACTGTCTCTGGGAGCAAAAGTGGCACCGTTGAAGTTGCTACCTGAATGATTGGATTGAAACAAACTTGGTTAATTGTAAATAGCTACAGAAGCAGTTGGCATTGGAGCTTCTGACCTGTGGCTCAAGATGTTTCCTTGAGACTTCTTCCTTCACTACACTTTTGCTATTATTATTCTATGTATTGTTAAGAAAAGGAAAAAGATCTTAGATATAACAAGGACAACAAGTTCCAAGAACCCAAAGGTCAATAGTTCTATTATCATTTCAGGACGGTTGCAGAAGTATTAGGACCCAGATACAAGGTCTTTACCTCCATCTATACTAGTATTTATAGCCTTCTTGATAGATGTTTTCTTATCCCCTTCTTCCATATTTTTCATTGAAGATTTAATATTGGAGGTGCCTTTTGTTGGAGATTCTCTAGCATCGTCAAGGATAACATCACCAATTTCATTACCATGCTCTGTTGCAAACTCTTCTTCATTTGCTGATAAGTCATCTTTGCGACTTCATCCACTGTAACAGGTTTTCTATCTGGACCAGATTCAGAATCTGAGGACAATGACCAAATGGTATGATTCTGTCCCCGTGGAAAAGAACATATGCATAGGCATAATTTGCGTGCATAAATAAATTAATGGATTGAATTCACAACTCATGAAGATGACAAGATAACAATGGAACCTATTTGAAATTATTTGGGTGAACAAATGAGATTAAAGTAACTATTTTTCAAAGCATGTTGCGAGCCACTAGCTTCAATTAATCCAGTTGTGAATGTGTTTGTGTCTGTGAAAAGAGGATGCTACTTACATAAGACTTGTCATGCTTCTCAGGTTTATTTTTTTGTCCAGTGTTTTTCCGTTTAGCCATCTTTCCTCTGTGTTACTCTTGAACAGATTAAATTCAAACACATTGTTATGTTTTCTAGTTTTATGAATAATGTGACAATTAGATTGCGTATCAAGAAAGTGGTATGCTTATAAAGTATAAAACAACACCTTCCTTGCTCTTTTCTTCATTCTTCCTCTTCCTCACTGGTATGGAGACTTTCCTTTGTCGCTCTTGCTATCTGTATGTCCTCTTCCATTATTGGCATCATTACTATCAGAGATGTTTGTGGCTCCTTTTTTAAACAATTTTCTAAGATTGAGGCCATCTTCATCATCACTTCCGAGTTCCAGCCGCTGTGCCTCACGAAGCACCCCACCGCAGCGGGCGACAGCACATCTAGCTGATTGCACCACGGCACGATCAGACCGACGTCTCCTCTCTGTAATTCCGGGGAAGCTTCGATTCCTCTGACGCCCTTATAACCCACAGAAATCTCACCGGAATTTGCTTCAGTGCGGCGGCGATTTCTCCGATCTGCTCCGATTCCGGCCGCGCGACGTTGTCATTTTTGTTCAGACAGACACTCGTAAGGTAATTATTTTTATTTTTGCAATTAAATTAAATTAATTAACTAATTAATTAATTAATCTTGAAATTTAAAATTAATTAATACAACACGTGTGTATATCACACAAATACAAATTTTTCCTTTTTAAAAATATTTCCTTCTTTAAAATATTTCCTTCATGAATACGTTAGTTAATTGCCTTTGGAAGAAAGATCATTCTTCTTCTTCTCTGTTCCGGTCCCAGTTCCAGTTCCATCTAGTTCCAGTGCCCTCTCCGCTCCTGCCCCTCACCCAGCCCCATCAGTCAAGTCACTCATGTTTCCCATCAGACACATGGACGCCCGCTCCATCGAAGATGATGACTCGGTTTTCATCTGGTGGATGAATCAACATCTCCACAACTACCAAGAAGATCGACGTTGATAATAGGATTTCCCTTCCCTTCCCTTCTACCACCGAATCGAATTGCGGATAATATTCATTCTCAAGCAGGTATCCAATTCTCCCTAATTTTAGGGGTAATATTTATTCTTTATGCACAAGGAATTTGTTGAAATTGTTCATGATATACGCAGGCCCCCACCGTCGCACCGCACCTCTCCCCTTAAAAGAAAGGAAAGCAAGCCCCGTGCGGTGCATTTCCTTGAAAGAAAGGAAAGCCCTTGGTGCAGATCGCTGCGAATCGAACCGAACCGGGCAAGGTAATTTTTTTCTTTTTTGCAATTAAATTAATTAATTTTAAATTTCAAATCTTAAATTAATTAATTTAACGAATATAAAATCTTACGTTAACTGCCGTTGGTTGGAAGAAAGAAAGATCGTTCATTCTTTTTTCTTTCTTGGTGTTTGTCTTCTTCCCTGCAGACCGTCCAGTTCCAGTTCCACCAGTTCCCTTCACTTCTGCCCCTCGCCCAGCCCACAAGTCACTCATGTTTCCCATCAGACACATGGACGCCCTCTCCATCTTGCGATCAATCATTCAATCAGAAAAGAGTACTGGTTCATGTAAGAAATAATCGCAGCTTCATCCACCAGCAATATGAACAGCTAAAGACGTTTTTCTTATTTATTTGTTTGTAATTATCAGGTAATTATAAAGTAACTTGGGATATTCATTGATCTTATCTTACATTCTTGGCTAGTGTTTTGCATTTCAAACAACTTATGGCAAAACATATTGTTAGGTATCCTGATGTTGTCTTTGATGTTTCCAGAAAAGAGCATTGGTCCTGTGAAACCAATCCTATGTTTTGCGTGAGGCATTTCAAATCAAGATCCTTGATACTGTGATAGTCTATCAACATCTCACCTAAGAATTAAAAACTGAGTCAGTCATCTTAGTATAAATAAATCTATTGTAAGTTGCTCGAAACCAATCCTATGTTTCAAATTTAATTCTCTAGTTTCAATTATTTATATACGTAAATTAATTTTAAATCATTTCAGATTTATTATGGAGGCAAGGAGGATTGTTCGAGGTAAACCGAATGCAGTTGCTAGACCGCACCAAAAAAGGGTGAATTTTGCTACTTTTCTTTTTACTTTAATTGCATCTTAGAATTGCATTCATTTTCAAACTTTCTTGCATTTAGCTTTAGCATACATTTACGTCCCGGGACATCCATGCATTGATTATCCACTTAACTCTCATACTGACTCCCAAAAACGTACTAACTATCTCTTCTTTGTATTATCCGTAGGTAAGCCAACGTGGAGACTCGAGGACCGACAGAGATCCACTCGATGACGAAGGTAAGTTATTTAAATCTAATTTATACTTTCGAATGTTTATTTACTTATATTAATTTTGAATCGTTTCAGATCTATTCGGGGCCAAAGACGATTACGAATGGAGTTGCTAGACCGCACCAAAGAAATGGAGAATTTCGCTACTTTTGCTTTCACTTTTATTGCATTTTTAAAATGCATTCATTTTCAACATTTCTTGCATTTAGCTTTAGCATAAATTTAAGTCCCGGGACATCCATGCATTGATTATCAACTTAAATCTCATACTGACTCCCAAACGCGTACTATCTATCTCTTTCTTGTATTATCTGTAGGTAAGCCAACGTGGAGACTCGAGGACCGACAGAGATCCACTCGATGATGAAGATAAGTTATTTAAATCTAATTTATACTTTCAAATGTTTATTTACTTATATTAATTTTGAATCCTTTCAAATCTATTCCGGGGCAAAGAGGATTACTAATGGAGTTTCTAGACCGCACCAAAGAAAGAGAGAATTTATCTACTTTTCCTTTTACTTTTATTGCATCTTAGAATTGCATTCATTTTCAAGCTTTCTTGCATTTAGCTTTTGCATAAATTTACGTCCCAGGACATCCATGCATTGATTATCAAATTAACTCTCATAATGATTTCCAAACGCGTACTAACTATTTCATTTTGTATTATCTGTAAGTAAGCTAACGTGGTGACTCGAGGACCCACAGAGATCCACTCGATGATGAAGGTAAGTTATTTAAATCTAATTTATACTTTTGAATTTTTATTTACTTATATTAATTTTGAATCCTTTCAGATCTATTCAGGGGCAAAGTGGATTACGAATGGAGTTGCTAGACCACACCAAAGAAAAGGAGAATTTCGGTACTTTTCCTTTTACTTTTATTACATCTTAGAATTGCATTCATTTTCAAGCTTTCTTGCATTTAGCTTTAGCATAAATTTACGTCCCGGGACATCCATGCATTGATTATCAACTTAACTCTCATACTGACTCCCAAACGCGTATTATCTCTTTTTTGTATTATCTGTAGGTAAGCCAAAGTGGAGACTCGAGGACCGACAGAGATCCACTTGATGACAAAGGTAAGTTATTTAAATCTAATTTATACTTTTCAATGTTTTTTTACTTATATTAATTTTGAATCCTTTCATATTTATTCGGGGGCAAAAAGGATTACGAATAGAGTTGCTAGACCGCACCAAAGAAAGGTAGAATATTTCGCTACTTTTCTTTTTACTTTTATTGCATCTTAGAATTGCATTAATTTCAAACTTTCTTGTATTTAGCTTTAGCATACATTTACGTCCCGGGACATCCATGCATTGATTATTAACTTAACTCTCATACTGACTCCCAAAAGCGTACTAACTATCTCTTTTTTGTATTATCCGTAGGGAAGCCAACGTGGAGACTCGAGGACCGACAGAGATCCACTCGATGACGAAGGTAAATTATTTAAATCTAATTTATACTTTCGAATGTTTGTTTACTTATATTAATTTTGAATCCTTTCATATCTATTCGGGGGCAAAGAGGATTACGAATGGAGTTGCTAGACCGCACCAAAGAAAGGTAGAATATTTCGCTACTTTTCTTTTTACTTTTATTGCATCTTAAAATTGCATTAATTTTCAAACTTTCTTGCATTTAGCTTTAGCATACATTTACGTCCCGGGACATCCATGCATTGATTATCAACTTAACTCTCATACTGACTCCCAAAAGCGTACTAACTATCTCTTTTTTGTATTATCCGTAGGGAAGCCAACGTGGAGACTCGAGGACCGAAAGAGATCCACTCGATGACGAAGGTAAGTTATTTAAATCTAATTTATACTTTCGAATTTTTATTTACTTATATTAATTTTGAATCCTTTCAGATCTATTCGGGGGCAAAGAGGATTACGAATGGAAATGCTAGACCGCACCAAAGAAAGGGAGAATGTCGCTACTTTTGCTTTTACTTTTATTGTATCTTAGAATTGCATTCATTTTCAAGCTTTCCTGCATTTAGCTTTAGCATAAATATAAGTCCCGGGACATCCATATATTGATTATCAACTTAACTCTCATAATGATTCCCAAACGCGTACTAACTATCTCATTTTTTTTATTATCTGTAGGTAAGCTAACGTGGTGACTCGAGGACCCACAGAGATCCACTCTATGACGAAGGCAAGTTATTTAAATCTAATTTATACCTTCGATTGTTTATTTACTTATATTAATTTTGAATCCTTTCAGATCTATTCGGGGGCAAAGAGTATTACGAATGGAGTTGCTAGACCACACCAAAGAAAGGGAGAATTTCGCTACTTTTCCTTTTACTTTTATTGCATCTTAGAATTGCATTCATTTTCAAGCTTTCTTGCATTTAGCTTTAGCATAAATTTAAGTCCCGGGACATCCATGCATTGATTATCAACTTAACTCTCATACTGACTCCCAAACGCGTACTATCTATCTCTTTTTTGTATTATTTGTAGGTAAGCCAACATGGAGACTCGAGGACCGACAGAGATCCACTCGATGACGAAGATAAGTTATTTATATCTATTTTATACTTTCGAATGTTTATTTACTTGTATTAATTTTGAATTTTTTCAAATCTATTCCGGGGCAAAGAGGATTAGTAATGGAGTTGCTAGACCGCACCAAATAAAGGGAGAATTTAGCTACTTTTCCTTTTACTTTTATTGCATCTTAGAATTGCATTCATTTTCAAGGTTTTTGCATTTAGCTTTAGCATAAATTTACGTCCTGGGACATCCATGCATTGATTATCAACTTAACTCTCATACTTACTCCCAAATGCGTAGTATCTCTTTTTTATATTATCTTTAGGTAAGCCAACGTGGAGACTCGAGGACCGACAGAGATCCACTCGATGACGATGGTAAGTTATTTAAATCTAATTTATACTTTCGAATGGCAATACATGAGCCTAGTCGAGAATATGTTTGGTTGAGATCAATGACTCAACATATTCTGAAAAATTATGGGTTAATACCCGACGATAGAATTCCCCCAACTACATTGTATGAAGATAATACAGCTTGTATAGCGCAATTAAAAGGGGGTTACATCAAAATAGATAGAACAAAACATATTTCACAAAAATTCTTTTTGACTCATTATTTACAGCAAACTGGTGAAATCAATGTGCAACAAATTCGATCAGATAATAATTTAGCGGATGTATTAACCAAGACATTACCGACTGCTATATTTGAAAAATTAGTAAAGAAAATTGGAATGCGTCGGTTCAGAGATCTCAAATAATGCTCAGATTAGGTGGAGCAAATAAATACAAGAATGTTGTACTATTTTTCTTTCACTAATTTTTTTTTCCCACAGGGTTTTTTTCCAGTAAGGTTTTAACGAGACACATTTTCTGTGTAATAGCATCCAAGGGGGAGTGTTATACACGTATATGCTTTATACGTAATTATGTGGATGCAGCTAAATTAAACATGTATTTAGTTTTATTTTATGTGCGTATGACTAATTTTCAACCATGAAATTGGATGGTGAAAATGTCTATATATACCATATATATTACAATGAAATAAAAGAGAAGATATCTCACTCAATTGTCTCTCTCTCGCTATATGTTCTCTCTCCACATTCATACAAGTAAATATATATATATATACATACCTATATAAGCATTAACTCATCATCATCATAAATACATAATATACATATATACACGTCCATATATATTACATATTATATTTATTATAATATCATATACAATATATAAAATAATGATTAGCGGTAGAAATAATTAATATTTCTATTAGCTATCCCTGTACTAATATTACAACACTCTCTATGTATAATATATTATTATTATATTTATTATTATTATTATTATTATCACCGTCGCCCGCCATCTATTTTATTATTATTGTATTATTATATATATTATATTTATAGTATTTTTATTGATATTTATTTGTTTAACAATCTCGTCAATTATAATCAATATACAAATAGAAATAAAAATTTAATTTAAAATATTAATTTTTTATTCTAAAATAATATAAAAATATTTATTTACTATCATTATATTATTTTATACACTTCAAATTACATAATCTCAAACTCAAAGAACACGCAGTGGTAGTGTTAGCTATCCTTGCATCTAATTTGCCATCAAACGACGAAATAATTCAGCTCCCAACAGGGGACCTACTGCAGTGGATCGCTGGCGGACAGAAAGCTACTACAAAGCACCGCCGGAGAAGTGCAAGCTTCACAGTAGCGAAAGACGGTGAGCGAAGCAATCGCCGCTGTGCCGAAAAAGAGAACTTAGCGGTACGTAATTCATGTCAAAAAGGAGACATACAATAAGCAAGCGGAGATTGCGAAGAAGAAGAAGAATTCTTTTATCATCAGCGATGGCGTGGAATCGACAGTCACTACCGGCGACCTCAACGTCGCCGACGAATCCACAATTTCCCGATCGGCCACTCTCTGTAATCAATCATTCAATTACCAATTAAATCCAATAATTCTCAAATTCTCTTCATCAAATGTGCTGGGCAGATGCCGTCGGGAAACGATTCATACTGCAAGACATAACCGGACTAAATTTTTAAACACATGCGTGTAGGTGTGTGTTTGGTGATATGATACTGCCTACGTAGACACGGCCATATTTAGCAAAAATACGAGTAATGTTCGGTCCAAATAAGATGTTATATCAAATCCGTTATATTCCCGCCAATGTTTATTTTTTGTTACTTTTCAAGAATGGTACAAAAAGTAACTTAAATTATTTATATTGGTATAAAATTACTGAATTTTTATATTGAAATTAAAATTAATTTTTATTTTGTTTCAACAAAACCATTTTTGATTTTTTTTTTCCTTTAATTATTATTTAAGATGTATTGATAATGCAATATTATTACGTAATATATAAAATATAAATATAATAGTAATACAATATCTAATATATAAGAGTTTGTATATGTATATGGTTTATCTTAGAGAGAGAGAGACACGTAAAGAATAAAGAAAGAGAGAGATGAGGGAGTAGGAGGAATTAATGGATAGAATTATGGCGTCAACTACAATAATAAATTTAAAATTCAGCATTGTGCTAAAAATCATACAATATTATTAGATACAATATATTTTATATATCAATATAATACAAATACAACACATTAATTAATAACACATGTTATAATCTCATACAACACGAACAACAATTTATTTTAGAACATGACATGCTCTTATACAACACACATGTAATTATGAACAAATATCATATATTTTTATTACACACAATATGCTGTCTGTAATAAAAACATGTATTGTTTGTATATATTATGGGTGCTGATTTGAAAATATGTTATGTATAATAAAAACATGTGTTGTTTTCAATCAACGCCGTAATCATTCCCAAATATATTCATTTCATTTCCAATAAGCCTATTCATAAGCAAATATCTTTGTGCATAATAATCCTTTTCTATACATGACATGAAATATTAATGACATCCAACTTATTGATTTTAATCTTATTAGTGTTAGGGCATTTAAAAATGCATATCCTCAAGCAGATATATAAAATTTAGCTTTAATTAACATAGATCTAACAACTAATTGCAATCTTTTTATAATAGAATCAACTAGAACATTTTTAATATGTACATATAGTACATGATGCTTAATATCAATCCCAATAGATATACAATAATCATCAAATTTCATAAATGAATATTCACAATATTATCAAGACAAAATTTATTTATTGGGTGATCTGGAAATTGTGTTCATAATCTGATTATTTGAGCAAGCAACCTCGCAAATGCTAAATTACAAGTGAATAATAAACATAAATGTGACCATCGAATGGATGCACAATAAGCACTATTAAATATCTGAATGGTCCGCATGATGGATCTACTGACCAAATATATCACTATGATTTCGTTCTAAAAATATAGGAGATTCGATTCTCACTTTTTCTGGTATGGTCTAGGTATTGACTTCCTTCTGAGCAAGAAACACATTTTAGCTCATTTGTAGTAAATACTTTTTGATTTTTCAAAGTATGACTATGGTATTTTTAATAATTCATCTCATCATAATATTACCGGGATGCCAAAGTCAGTCATGCTAAATCATATTATCTGTAGACTTTTGGTCTATCAGATATGTTTCAATTGTATTCAACTTTATGTAATATAACCTAGAAGATAATAAAGACAAATTTTGTAACATATATTTACGTAATCAATAAATTTTGTAATTAACAGAAAATTATTATTTACCTTATTCAATATGATATCCATTTCTGTGAATGTCACTAAAACTTAATATATTTTTTTTAGATTTGCTAAAATAAATGCATTTGATATGTCAAATTTTACTTATTCGGGAAGAAATATTATTACTCTTCCGGAGTCTATAATCAAATTTGCACTACCACATATGGTATTAACATTAATTGTTTTCCTTTAGGTTGGTGAAGTATGTCTTATATTGCAAGATGGTGTGTCGATGCACTATCAATGAGACATTATTAATTATAACACATTCAGAATTCATATTTCTTTCTGTTGGAAGAAATATCAAAAAATAAATGTATCAGTATTCTTAACAAAACTCTTAGCTGTTATATTATTACAAAACATGAGAGTAAAAATAATTATATACAAGAGGTTCCAAATATATATTTATTATCACATTGCATATTCAGTGTATTTAATATATATCATCAGGGGTTTTCAAAATGTACACTTTCAGAGTACTCAAAATATAATTCATCAAGTTTTTAAAAATATACATCATTGGGATTCTCAAAATATGAACCATCGGGGTTATCGAAACATGAACCTTCAGAATTCTCAAATTATGAACCTTTAGGATACACATTTAAATATGTGTCAATAGTAAATTATTACCACCACTAACATTATTTTTAGATAAATTTATTTACAGAACATTGACATCTTTGGATGCCTTTTCTTTACAATAGCTAGTGGGAGAATTCAAATATTTTTAAAAAATAATTATATAAATACCTTGAAAATTTTGGCAGAGCTTCTGCAATGCTATGATATCTTCTTATTGTATCTAAGTAGAACTTTGGGATGGAAAATTTTTTAAACACAAATTTTGCAACCTTTTTTACTAACTTAAAAATACACACAAAAAAAAATGTTATCTTTATATTAGCACATTCTCAAAAAACATATTGTGTTGATATCTATGCACGGATTTACAATATGACTTATACGCATCATCGGAGCTCGAAAAAGATGCATTGATCCAATAGTCATCACCTGAAGAATCAAATGATATACGACGTTATAAATTATGATGTTTATAATAATATACTATGATTTACAGAATATAGTATTATGTTGTCGCTCCAGCGCGAATATTGAGTAACTAAATTATCTAATTTGTTTTTTTACGCAATTTATTACTTGATATATATTCTATATGTTTTTTAGGTGTTAAGATAATGAAAAAAAAATGGATATGATTTAATTTGGAGACCGTTTCAACTTTTTATAATTTTAGTATGTTAACTTTAATTTAATAAAAAATTATTATAATTCAACACTTTTAAATTTGGATAAGGAATGACGCCCTTACCTTATATGTTTCAAATATGATTTCACAAAATAATTGATTATTTCGATAATTATGATAAATCTAATGTATCATATTGTATTATTGGAAGCCAACAATTTTTCAACTGTTTCGCCTATTGATTCAATAATTTTGTGTGTGACTATTAATATGTTGAATGACTAATATGATCATGATACATATATCCTTCGAATATTATGTCCAGAAGATAAAGATATGATATAATAAAAAAATTTCAGTACATTACTTTGCGATAGATGAAAAAAAAAAAGAAAATTTACAGCATTATGCACTTTCTAGAACATTTTCTTCGTATGGCATACTGGAACTAACGGGAATGCACAACATTTTGCTTCACCTAGTTCGACTCTCTGACTTCTTCATTATACTTTTTCTTTGATCAACGTCGGCGAAGAACGTAGATTTTTTTTTTTTTTGTGAACTAACTCATATTATGGATACAACCAGTATCTCTTCATATTTGTATTTCCTTGATTTATTTTTAAAATAAATTATTGTTTTATTTATTATATCAATCAAATTACATATATCTCTGTCTGCAATATCATCCATTAATCAATAATTTTATCAAACGAATGTGATTTTTTCAAAATAATCTTAAATATTGGATTCATGAGCATACCCGGACTGCTTTTCTATACATGACATAAAATAGTAATGACAACTACTAATTTAAACAATACCTATCATAAAATATATTATATTTTAGATTTAATATGCCATTTTTAGATTTTCAATATTATCGTATCATATAATTTATATTTAAAAATAATATATTTAATATTTATTCTTTGCATATAAATTATATATTAGTTTTTTATATTGCATTTAAAAGTTAATAATAATATCTAAATTTAAATTAATGAATTTTAGGTTATGTTTTGTTTTTAGGTTTTTAATATAGGAACGCATAGGGTTTATATGGGTAGGGATCCTGTCTTG